GAGAGAGAGAGAGAGGTCTGAGCTATCGATGCGAACGGACACCGAGTGGATCTGTCTCGAGACCTTTCGGCGACCGCGCTTGTCTGTGAGCGCAGCCTCCGGCCAGTCGTCGAACACCGGCCATCCGAAATGCTAGACACTTTGTATGGCCTACCCACCCTCGACTCCTTGGGTCCAAATCACGGCTGCTCGACGCTCGCGATGAGCAAGCACTGTCGGGCTCGGGCCAAAAGGCCGATTTGCGAACAGAGCTACACGGCGGACCGAGCAGGGCGGGCTGTGCATTGATCGAGCGTTCGACAGCTTGGCATCCAAGGATCGACGACGGCTTGGAGCAGCGGGGCGTCGATCCGAGCCCTTACCAATGCAGCGATTCCGAGGCTCTGCTTTGGCTCGACGGGTCGCACTTGCATTTTGGCACCAAGCCTAAGCAGCCCATTGTTGAGCGCGGCGACGGCGGCGGCTCGGCGACAAGCACGCCTCTGAAAGGGCGTGGGGAAACTGCCACCACGCGGTGACAGCTGGGGAGGCGGGAGGGGTCCATCCACGCTAAGCAGCCAGTTGGAATCGCACACACCGCGGCGTGTGCAAGGGGCGGTAGGCATCGACCGACACAACCAAGTGGTGGACCTAGCGTCGGCGACCAGGGCGCACACGGCAACAGCACGCGCGCGCGTGTGCGCGCACGCCACAAGGCTGGCGATCATCCAAAGCAACCGCCGAGGGCGTTGCACCGCTGCATTTTCTCCCACACTCTCGCCTTCCATTGACCGTCGTAGCTGCAAAAAGGAGCGACAACGAGCGACTCAAAGGGACAACCTCGTCGGCGTTCGTGCGCAAGGGGCAAAGGAACAAGGCCGAACCAGATGCGCCCGACAGAAAGCAACCAACCGGCACAATGGAAGCAAGGGCCCGCTGTTGCGCCTCTTTTTTTTCGATTCCGCACCGCAACCCGAGCGCAGAGGCTGCGCCCCGAAGCTGCTCGCTCGGCCCACGGAACGGACGGGCTGCACACCAAAGCCCAGCACAACCCGTCAGCTCGGACCGCGGTCAGAAAAGCTTGGGCCGCCTCTCGTCGGTCCACTTTGGCGCAGGCGGCCCGACTGATCCACCTGAATTTCCTAAAAAGAAAAATCCAAAGTTGCCTCTGCCTTCATGGGTTGGCGCAACGGCGTGCTGCGTCGGAGAGAAAAAAAAGGTGTTGCGCAAGAAAGAAAAAAGGGCGCTAGGGAGCCAAACGCAGGGATGTCTGCATGATGCAGCGCCTGCAGCGTTGTCCACCTCTGCGTCGGCAGCGCACTCCAGGTTGTCGGCAACGGCGCAAGGTGGCACGGCGGGGTTTGAGATGACACGCTAGACCGCAGATCTGGCTGTCGACCTCCCGTTGCCATCTCCGCCTCCCTTCTCGAAACAATGGGTCGGCATTTTTGGTGGTTCGTCCATCCACAATGGACCCAATCAGCCCTGCGCAGCTGAACTTCGCACGCCACAAGCGTAGTTACCAGGGCACGAGCATGGCTGACGTCCACGAGGAGGCGTAGGCGGAGGCGGAGAACCATCACACGGGATGCTGGCATCGGCCACGAGGATGGTAGCCAGCCTCGGCGCGTTGTTTTGGCTCGCGCGAGTTGGACACGACTCGATCTGGTGCTAAACGATCCGGGCATGACCGGAACCACTGGCCCGAGGCCCGGGGGCCTGCGAGAGATATGCATAGCTCTCGCTTATACGCGCCCGGCGCTGTAAACTAGCGCCAGAACTGTACGCCGACAGTACCGACTCTCGGGCTTGCTCGGCATAGCAGCCTCTGTCGCAGCCGAGCAGGTGCGCCTGTCCAGACGCGTTCTAGTCCAGCCTGGCCTCGCGTGCGCATGAACAGCGTGTTCCTTTCCACCAGCCCTTCCAAATAGAGCGGCCGGCGTACAGTATCAGATGGCGTACGCCACAGACAGCATCTACTTGCCTTTCAGTCGCTAATGCCCGGCAAGCACAAGCGCCAGCCTTGTTGCTCACGCGAGCCTGCAACCGCCTTTGCTCCGGATCGGCTCCACGCAAGCACGTCCCAGCCGCACCGGATCTAGTGCTAAAGTTGTCTAACGGTGCATGCCGCAGCAGCAAGACTGGTTTTCGGCAGCCGCAAAGGCTCAAAGGGACGCGGGGTTGTGACAGCAAAGGCAGGGCCGCACGGGCGTGCATGCGTGCAAGCCTCAATGCTTTGTCGGGCGGTAAGCTTGTTCCCTTTGGCAGCACAGGTTCGCACCGTGGGTACAGAAGCGTTCCGCTCGTTTGGCTCGGTGACAGATCTTGCTTCGGCCTGTCACACAAAGGGGCGGTCGAATTTCCATGACGCGGTCGCGTTACCCGCGCCAAGCGTACACACAAAGGGGTGAAGATTTGCATCTTGACCTAGCCGCTGAGACTGGTGTCCGTGACGTGTGGAATTGCAACTCGGACCGGCTGCTGTCGGGTTGTCCAGTCAACCAGCACCAACATCTCGGCAGTCAGATGTACGGAGCCTCGCGGAATCACCATGCGGGATGATTGCCAGCGCGAGCGCGAGGAGGTCGCGTAAAGCACCGGCGCAGCGGCTCACCGCCTACCGGACTCCGCCACCCGTCCAACGCGAACACAGCAGCCCCCGCTAGCCCCGAACCCAATGCCGCGGCCAGAGTGGATTTCCTGGATCCCCATCTCCACGCCAGGTCTCGGCACCACTTCGGCTCGCTCTTCCACCTCCCTCATCCTTCTTGATTCGCACCGATGGGGAAGAACAAGAGCACTAGAAAATATTTAGGCTCCGACCCATTTCGGCAAAGGGCTACGCATCGCGCTCCCGAACCGAACAATGAAAAAAAGGCCCGGTTTGAGCACGCGCTAAATGCACTTCGCTCCCCTTTCTTCATCCACCCCAAACGCAAGCCACTACATCATCCTGCTTGCACACAAAAAGCAAGCACAGTGCGTCGGCTCACGCTCAGCACACAGCCTGCGGTAGTGTGAATGTCGACCGCTGGAAATGTCGAGAGCCGCGCCTATGCCTATTGCAGTGGCGTTGCTGGTCGGCTGGAATAATCCCTCGCAGCGCAAGTCTCGCCTCGGCAGACGGGCGCCAGAAGCATTTCGACAGTTCAGCGCGTAACAAACGGTGGCGTTGAAGCTCTGTCGCCTAGCCTTGCCGAAGATTAGTCTGCTCCAGCCACGCTTGCGCGCTTGCGCGAGGTCGACGGCGACGGAACGACTCGGGATCTTGCCAGCGGCTGGAAGGAGAAAAGGACGGGGAGCATCCCAAAAAGGAAAGGTCGATCGCGATGAAGAGTCGAGCTGCACCTCGCCTTGTGCTGTACAGTAGCAGCCGAGATGTCGGCATGCTTTGGAAGGGCCAGAGTGCCTTGGCGAGCCGCAAAACCATGCAGACCACGCTCGCTTCTGCCATGCCGGATCTCGAGTAGCCGCCTGAAGTGAAAGATCGGAGTCGGATCGGGCGAGCCCACAATCTCTCTTTCGTGCATCTGGCGCATGGCGGCGGCAGCAGAGTGGGGTCACCCGAGCATGGATCTTGGAGGGCTTGGCTTCGCGTAGGCACGCTGCGATTAGCGAGCCCTCGCTAGGCAGCAGGCGAGTTCGAACTGCAGCGAGCCGACTCTCGCCTTCCGGTGCGCCGCGTGGTGCCCTCAATTGCGCTTTAGCCCTCTTTTTCTTTTTCTTTTTGCTCTCTCAGCCCCCCCTCCCCCCTCCCCCC